GCAGCAGAGCCCTGATAGCGTACAGAAGCAGCAGGAGCAGCAGCAGAACAACAAGCAGCAGCAGCAAGATGAGAAAGCAGCCAACGCCACATTTGCTGCTGCTTCCCTAGAAGAGCTAGACTGGCCGGAGGCCCCGCCGCCGCGGCGCCGCGTGCCACGGAAGCAGCAGCAGGTGCTGCAGCAGTTCGGCATAGCTGCTGTGCCTGCTGCCAGCAGCAGCAGCAGCAGCAGCGGGGCTTCCTTGCGCAGCAAAACGGACGGGCAAAGCGGGGTTTCTGCACGCGCAGCACGGAAAGCAGCCGCAGCCGCAGCAGCAGCAGCAGCAGCAGCCACAGCAGCAGCAGCACACTGCCTTTGCCTGGGAGCTGAACACGGGGCCTACGGGATTTGCCTCAGCTGCGGCCTGATTCGCTGCCGCTATGGAATCAGCAGCAGCAGCAGCAGCAGCAACTTGGGGGCCCCTGGGGCCCCCCGCTGCCTCTTTTGTGCAAATGAAATTGTACCGAGTGCGGGGCTCACTTCCCTAGCTGCTGCTGTGGAAAAGGGGCTTGCTGAGAACAGGCAGCAGCTGCAGCAGCTGCAGCAGCAACAGCAGCAGCTGCAGCTGGAGCAACAGCTGCAGCAGCCCTTGGAGAGTTTTCAAGAGGAGATCGCAAAACTGCAGGAACAGATCAGAGCCGATGAGGCCCACCTCAAGGGTAAGTGCAGCGGCAGCAGCAGCAGCAGTAGCAATAGCCGCAAAAGCAGCAGCAGCAGTAGCAGTAACTTCAGCAGCAGCAGCAGCAGCAGCAGCACTTGAAGCCCTCAAACGCTGCAGCAGTGCGTGCGAGACTCTGGCTGCTCTGTCAGTGTGTCTGTGAACTTCGTCCCTGTGGGTCCTCCCGCCACCCCGTGTGTGTGTGCCACTTTGCTGCTGCTGCTGCTGCTGCTGCTGCTGCAGCACTGCGGCTGCACCGGCGCCTGGTGGTCTGCGACGCCCAGGCGCAGCAGCAAACCAAAATCCTGGACATGAACAGCTGCTGGTTCGACGCCAACGAGGGTTTTGCTGATGCTCCAGCAGCAAACATTTGGCTGACGCCGCAGCAGCAGCAGGAGCGGCAGCTGCTGCTGCAGCGCCTCAACCAGGCCTTCAACCTAGAGAAGGGTGTGCTCCAGACCCCACAAACCCTAAACCCTAAACCCTAAACCCTCCGGGGCCGCTCTCTCCAAGACTAGTCACCCCCGCTGCTGTTTTTGCTGTTGGTGCTGCTGCTGCTGCTGCTAGCAGCAGCAGCAGTAGCAGATACTGCTCCGCAGGAATTCATTTATATCCTAGCAGCACTTGACAGCCTTTTAGCTGCGGCCCGACGGGGCTGTGGGATCGGCTTATGGGGCCTGCGCCCTCTTCTTATGTACGACTGCCCCTTCTGCTGCTGCTGCTGCTGCTGCTGCG